AGGGAGGTGATCCTGCCTCTCTCCTCAGCCCTTGTGAGGCCACACCTGGAGGATTGTGTCCAGTTCTGGGCTCCTCAGGGCCAGAGGGACATGGAGCTCCTGGAGCAGGTCCAGGGGAAGGCAAGGAAGATGCTGAAGGGACTGGAGCACCTCAGTGATGAGGAAAGGCTGAGGGAGTTGGGGCTGTTCAGTCTCCAGAAGAGACACTGAGAAGGACCTCATGAATGGATTCAAGTCCATGAATGGGAAGTGCCAAGAGGATGATCAGACTCTGCTCAGTGGGGGAAATCAAGAAAACAATAGGGAACAGCAAAACCTGATGCCTAGAAAATTCTGCCTGAACCTGAGGAAGAACTTCTTTGCTGTGCAGTACCTGAGCACTGAACAGATTGCCCAGAGAGGTCGTGGATTCTCCCTCACTGGAGATATTCCAGACCCATCTGATCGCAATCCTGAGCCATGTACTTTAGGGTGACTCTGCTGGAGTAGGGAGGTTGGACCAGATGTCCCACTGCGGTCCCTTCCATCCTAACTGATTCTGTGGTGATCTTAGAGGTCTCCTCCAACCTTGATGATTCTATGTAATGTTGAGGAAATGTAGTCTAAGTGTAGATGCAAAGCTGTTACAGAAAGCTTCCCACATTATTCTCAACTGATAACTCAGAGGAGGTGAGTGAAAGGTTGATCAGTGCAATTACTGATTTTTAAATACTTTCCTTCCCATGTCAGCATTAAGATCAGAGTCTGTGGCACATGCACATGGAATTGTCTCAGCAGTTGCTCAGGTGTGTTCCTTATCCTGCAAGATGATACCTGTAGTGATCCTGGCGTGATTTCCTTGCAGGCAGTCAGAGCAGAAGGTCTGCCTGGTTATGCACTGAATTTCCCTTCTCCAGGACCTGACTTCATTGCTCTGAAGCTTTCTTCAGGAGCTGCTGGCTCTGCCATAAGCTAGAACTGAGAAAAATATTTGATTTGCCACTTCCCAAATGCAGTAGCTGTATCTGTGTCCCTGTATTTTGAGTTCTGCCAGGGCCTTTTCAAAGTGTGTCCTGCTCTGAATAGATGGGAGGGAGACACTGTGTGTGTGGTGTCTCACTAGTTCCACACCCATTTGTGTCTACACAGAGAAGCTCATCATTTCTGTCTGGGTGCACAGGAAGAAGTGATGACTTGTGTTAATTTTCCAGTTGGAAATGTGACGTGTTCACATGCTGCTGTGTTTGCCTCATACCAGTGTGGTATGTGTGTCTATAACTCTGTCCTACTATAAGGAAAAATAATTAGATTATGCTTTAACAGCAGTAATTAAGCAGTATATCCTGTTGCTGTGTATTCCAGGCTGCTGGCAGGGCAGGGCATGGGAATTTGGGCTGATAGTTCCTTTCTCTCATTCTCCAGCCTCTTCCTTTTTGTTACTTTGCTGGTGTTTTGTTTCTCCTACTATCCTGTTATCTTCACCTTGTTTCCATTGCACATGAGAATTTTCAGTCAGTATTTGGTCACTTGACTCCTCTCTTTCTCCCCCCCCTTTTTCTCTCTCTCTTTCTCCCCCCCTTTTTCTCTCTTTCTTTCTCCCCCCCTTTTTTTCTCTTTCTTTCTCCCCCCCTTTTTCTCTCTTTCTTTCTCCCCCCC